TGTTGGCTCATTTTACCCTTACAGTACCACAGTGAAGAGAGAAACATTTCACAGATCTTGAAAATAAATTAAGGAGGGGCCAACTCACTTGAGCAAAACATTCAGCCACTTAATATTTAGACAAGATTAGATTTTTTGACTGGTGCTTCTGCCATTTGGCATAATAGCCACCATCTAAGGGTTCCTTACAAATACCCATGGAGTCTCTGAGTGGTTCAAATAATTAACATTCCTGTCTGTTAACTAAAAGATTGAAGGTACAAATCCACCCCAAAAGTGCCTCAGAAGAAAGGTCTGACAATCTACTTTCAACAATCAACCGTTGAAAACCCTATGGAGCACACTTCTGCTCTGACGACCAGTGGGGTCACTATGAGTCAGAATCAATTCAACAGCAACTGATTAACTGTCTACACATGCCTGTTCTTCAGCAATAAAACAAGAAACTAGGCATGCTAAATAGAGGCAGTATAATAAGTAATGAAGAGGAGAGGCTTTGAGCACAAAACCCTCATAACTATGTGACTTTGAGTAAATGATCTATCTTTTATGTACCCCAGTTTCTACATCTGTGAAATAAGGAAAATAATAGAATTTATCTCAAAGGGTTCTCATGAGGATTGAATGAACTGTGTTATTGCTATGTGCCATCAAGTCAGTCTAACTCTTAGAGACCCTGTAGAGTACAATTGTCTCATATGCTTTGAAGGCTGTAAATCATTATGGAAGCAAATTGACACATCTTTCTCCATAGAGCAGCTGGTAGGGTTGAACTGCTAGCCTTTCAGTTGCCAACTGAGCTCTTAACCATTGCATCACCAGGGCTCCTTAAATAACTCAAAAAAAAAAAAAAAAAAAACCCTTACTGCCATTGAGTTGATTTTGACTTATAGCAAGCCCCGTTGAGTTTCCAAGTCTACAAATCTTTATCAGACCAGACTGCCTCATCTTTCTTCTGAAGAGCGGTTGGTGGGTTCAAACCTCCAGCCTTCTGTTTAGCAGCCAAATGCCTTAACCACTACATCACTAGAGCTCCTTCCTTAAATAAAGTACTACATATAAAGTACTAAGAACAACATAGCAAAGATTTGTTATTTTCATTGCTACTCTAACATAATAGAATTTTGCAAGACCAATGACTTATTCATTGTAAATACCTTTTTTCAACAACACAAATGGCAGCTGTACACGTGGACTTCACCAGACAGAGTACACAGGAATCAGATTGATTACATCTGTGGCAAGAGGTGATAGAAAAGCTCAATATCTTCAGCCAAAACCTAGCCAGGAGCTGATTGTGGAACAGACCATCAACTGCTCATATGCAAGTTCAACTTGAAGTTGAAGACAATTAAAACAAGTCCATGAGAGCCAAAATATGATCTTGAATATACCCCTCCTGAATTTAGAGACCATCTAAAGAATAGATTTGATGAATTGAACACCAATGACTGAAAACCAGAAGAACTGTGATGACATCAAGAGTATCATCCATGAAGAAAGAAAGAGGTCATTAAAAAGATAAGAAAGAACGAAAAGACCAAAATGAATGTCAGAAGAGACTCTGAAACTTGCCCTCGAGCAGAGGGTAGCTAAAGCAAATGGAAGAAATGGCAAGATAAAAGAGCTGAACAGAAGATTCCAAAGAGCAGATCAAGCAGACAAAGCCAATTACTATAATGAAATGTGCAAAGACCTGGAGTTAGAAAACCAAAAGAGAAGAACACAGTGGGCATTTCTCAAGCTGAAAGAAGTGAGGAAAAAATTTAAGCCTCTAATTGCAGTATTGAAAGATTCTATGGGCAAAATATTGAATGATGCAGGAAGCATCAAAAGAAGATGGAAAGAATACACAGAGTCACTATACCAAAAAGAACTGGTTGATCTTCATCCATTTCAGGAGGTGGCATATGTAAGAACCAATGGTATTGAGGGAAGAGGTTGAAGCTGTGCTGAGGTAATTGGCAAGGAACAAGGCACCAGGAATTGACAGAATATCCACTGAGATATTTCAACAAATGGATGCCCCACTGGAGCCACTCAGTCGGTTATGCCAGGGGATTTGGAAGACAGCTGCCTGGCCAACTGACTGAAAGAGATCCATATTTATACCCATTCCAAAGAAAAGTGATCCCACAGAATGTGGAAATTATCTAACAGTATCATTAATATCACATGCAAGTAAAATCTTACTGAAGATAATTCAAAAATGGTTGCAGCAGTATATTGACAGAGAACTTCCAGAGGTGCAGGCTAGATTCAGAAGAGGATGTGGAACAAGGGATATTATTGCTGATGACAGATGGATCTTGGCTCAAAGTAAAGAATACCAGAAAGATGTTTACTTGTGTTTTATTGACTATGCAAAAGCATTTGATTGTATGGATCGTAACAAACTGTGGATAACATTGAGAAGAATGAGAATTCCAGAACACTTAATTGTACTCATGAGGAACCTGTACATAGACCAGGAGGATGTCTTTCAAACACAATAAAGGAACACATGGTTTAAAATCAAGAAGAGAGTGTGTCAGGGTTGTATCCTTTCACCATTCTTATTCAATCTGTATGCTGAGCAAGTAATCCAAGAAGCTGGATGATATGAAGAAAAACCTGGCATCAGGATTGGAGGAAGAATCATTAACACCCTGCAATATGCTGATGACACAACTTTTCTTGCTGAAAGTGAAGATGACATGAAGTACTTACTGGTGAAGATTGAAGAATACAGTCTGCAGTATGGATTACATCTTAATATAAAGGAAATAAAAATCCTCACAACTGGACCTATAAGCAGCATTACAATAAATGAAGAAAAAATTGAAATTGTCAAAGACTTCACATTGCTTAGTTCTACAATCGATGCCAATGGAAACAGCAGTCAGGACATCAGATGATGTATGTTGTTGTTGTTGTTGTTATGTGCCGTCGAGTCAGGCCCACCTCATAGCAACCCCTCCTTGGGTTTCTGAGGCAGTATCACTATGGAAGTAGATTGCCTCATCTTCCTTCCGAGGATTGGCTGGTGGGTTTGAACCGCCAGCCTTCTGGTTAGCAGTCAAGTGCCTTAGGCACTAGACTACCAGAACTCACTCAGATGACGTATAGCACTAGGCAAATCGCCTTCAAAGGACCTCTTTAAAGTGCTGAAGAGCAAAGATGTCTCCTTGAGGACGAAGGTGCACCTGACACAAGCCACGGTATTTTCAATCACTTTATATGCATGTGAGAGCTGGACAATGAATAAGGATAACCGAAGAAGAGTTGATGCTTTTGATTTGTGGTGCTGGTGAAGAATGCTGAAAGTACCTTGGACTGCTAAAAGAACTAATAGGTCTGTTCTGGAGGAAGTGCATCCAGAATGTGCCTTGAAGGTGAGAATGGTCAGGCTTTGTCTCACCTCCTCTGGTCATGTTTTCAGAATGGACCATTCCCTGAAGAAGGATGTCATGCTTGGTAAGGAGGAGGGTCGATGAAGGAGGTGAAGACCCTCCTCGAGATGGATTGACATGGTAGCGGCAGCAATGGGCTCAAGTATAGCAAGAATCATGGAGCTGGCTCAGGATCGGGCGGTGTTTCGTTCTGCTGTGCATAGGGTTGCTCTGAGTTGGAGACAACTCGATGGCACCTAACAACAACGTTCTAACAAATGTGTAAATCCTAGGACTCAGGTTGAAAGAAAAAAAAAAACAGAAAGAGATGGGCAATATGCATACTAGTATATGACAGGAGAAAATTGATGATATTCACTAATTGGGGCTGGAATTTTCAGGGAAGCTTTTTTTGAGGAGGTAAGACACGTTCAACACCTGAATTTGCATTGTCCATATCCCAGATTCCATTGATTTTTCATTTCACTCCTGCTTGCCTTTATATTGCCCAGTTCAGTGCTCACTTTGGCAGCACATACACTATACTCCTCAGTTCACCATGCAGCCTGGTTTTGGCAGACATGCTCCAAATATATCACAAACCCACAAATATGAATCTCAAAAAATAATAGACACAAAGGGAAGAGAGCAGAGAAGAGTAAAAAGATTGGCCTATGCTAAAAATTACCAAAGTTTTGTTTCTTTTCTTATCCCATTACTCATTTTTTTTTGTGAATCTTGGAAGTTTTTTTATTAAAATTCTTATCCATTTAAGAGAAACACTTTATTTAGTCTATCTCCTTTACTCCCAGTTCCATTGATGGAAATATGTGAGCCTTTTTCTGTATCTTTCCGCATCTCCCTATTAGTTATCTAGAACTTCGTAGGTGCTGAGCAAATGCTTGTTCACTGAGTGCAGAAATGAATGAGTTATCACCTTGGGTACTATTTATGGGATCAGGGGGAAGGAAATATGAAATAGACACATGAGGAAGTTGGAAATGGAGAATGGGGGTATAACTACAGTGCAAAAAAAAAACTATTTCTGAAACTTATACTTACTTTTATTAAAATTACTATTAAGTTCACTGTCTGATTTCCTTTAGGTTTATCCTGATTTCTTTTAGTGTCTCAGCACAATGGCTATTTTTAAATTATGTGTTATAAAATAATTTCATTTAACTGTAACACTGCGAGCCATGAAATGCAATGCACTGCTATCAAGTCTGATTTGACTCATAGTGACCCCTCCTTGGGTTTCCGAGGTGGTGTCTCTATGGAAGTAGATTGCCCAACCTTCCTTCCAAGGAGTGGCTGGTAGGTTTGAAATGCCAGCCTTCTGGTTAGCAGTCAAATGCCTTAGGCACTATGCCAACAGAGCTCCCTGCCAGCTGTACTTCCACAAATATTCATCCTGAGCTCGTGCCCCACTGAGAATCCTGGAGGGTGATTGGTAACCACAGGTTAATTTACAGAGCCTGGTCCTTCACTGAATCCCCTCTCCATCTTCTCACTGAGAATTGGTTTGTGCACTATGGCCCAAAGCCAGCTAGAGTGTTGCATCTTTAGACCCATAATTTTATTAGTTTGAAACCTAAACACAGTAGTCAGTCTTGGTTCTTCTTTTAGGTAACTGTCTACTAGACCTACCACGAAAGCAGATCCTAGGCCCAGAAGAACTTCCAGGACAGACATATGATGCCACACAGCAGTGCAACCTGACCTTTGGGCCTGAGTACACAGTGTGTCCTGGCATGGATGTCTGTGCTCGCTTGTGGTGTGCAGTAGTGCGCCAGGGCCAGATGGTGTGTCTGACCAAGAAGCTGCCTGCTGTAGAAGGAACACCTTGTGGGAAAGGAAGGATCTGCCTGCAGGGAAAGTGTGTGGACAAAACCAAGAAAAAATATTATTCAGTAAGTTATTTTCTTGTCACACAATGCCTGGAGAGCCAAGATCTGAAATGGATTTCTTTGATGTGTATGGACACTGTCATGAGAAGGCTTTATTTCCTACTGAAAATACTTATCCTTTAGTTTCTATTTTCAGCTTCATCTACAGTAGCCATACTCAGTAGTCAAACACTGTAGAAAATGCAGGTAGTAGGTGTTCCTTGCCTGTTAGATTATATCCTTTAACAATTAAATATATAACCCCAATTTTGTCTACTTGAGACACCATGTAAAATGAGTAGTCAACAATTCTGAGTGGTGGCAACTCGATGTGTGTCACAGTAGAACTGTACTCTACTTTTTTAAATCATAGTGCAAATATAAGCAACAAAACCATCACAAATTCAGCAGTTTCTATATGCATAATTCAACGACACTGATTATACTCTTCATATTGTGCAACCCTTATCCCTATCATTCTCCTAATTATTCTACCCCCATTATCATAAACTCTATGTCCTCCAAGCAATAACTCCCCCTTTCCCTCTCCCTCCCATCCCTGTTAACCGCTGAAAAACTTTGGAGTGCTGAAAAACTTTGGAGTCTATATATTTGTTTATTTTTATGTAAGTGAGGTCATAGAGAATTTGTCCTTTTGTGAGTGATTTATTTCATTTAGCATAATGTTTTCAAGGTTCATCCTTGTTGTGGCATGCATCAGAACTTTGTTTCTCATTCTGACTGAGTAATATTTCATTATATGTATGCACCACATTTTCTTTAATCCATTCATTCCATAGGGTTTTCAATGCTGACTTTTCTAAACTAGATCACTAGATATTTCTTCCAAGTGCCCCTGGGTAGACTCCAACCTCCAGCCTTTCAGTTTGCAACTGAGCACGTTAACCATATGCACCTCCCAGGGACTTTCCCAAGTTGCTTTTCTGAAGATTACTTTCAAACTTCTTTTAGTAAAGTTATTAGAATACATTTATTTAAACTCAATAAGGAAATAGTAGTAAAGCTGACAAAGGTCCTTACACATATGCAGTGAGCTTCAAAAGCATCTTTTTTTTTTCTCTCTTATAGAAAGTTAATCTAACTTTAGGAGCTAAGATAATTTACACCAGTTCCAGGGAAAAACCTCCCTGATCACACACACACACAGGCCAACTTCAGGTCAGCAGTGGCCCCCTTAATTCTCAAGGCTGGAGCAAAGTCAGAAAGCAAACTCTCACTTTTAGGTTTTCAAAATCCCTCAAAGAGTATTGCCATATTAGCATTGCTTGTGTCTTTCAACGAGCCCTGGTAGCACAGTTGTTAAAGCACTCACCGCTAACCCAAAGACTGGCGGCTTGAACCCACCCAACGGCTCTACAAGGGAAAGATGTAGTAGTCTGCTTCCAATTTATAGCCTTGGAAATGCAATGGGGCAGGTATGCTCTGTCCTGTAGGGTCTATGAGTCAGAATTGACTCGATAGCAATGGGTTTGATTTTGGATTATGTCTTTCAAGTACTATCATACAACCATGTACTCTCTGGTATGACACAGGCAGCCAGAAGAAGTTATTCACTTAATCTCTCAGCAAAGGAGGTTGTAGTATTTTTCCTTTCAGAGTCTCTCTGCTTCCTCTTGTAGTGTTTCCAGAGTAATGGACTTAGGGTGTCATAACAGCACTCATCCTTCCCTAGAGGGTATGTGTGTATCTGCAAGTTTTGTGTAGGTGCACACCCATATCTGCCACATTTCTTATCTATAAGGTTGATTGTCATCTAGTCAGGAATTCATCTAAGCCAAACCCAGGTCAAGTAAATTCAGTTTCTATATATATCAAAGGGTCTATCATGGATAAGGAGCTCTAGTAGCATCATGTCTAAGGCACTTGACTGCTAACCAGAAGGTTGGTGGTTCAAACCCACCAGCCACTCCTCGGAAGGAAGGTTAGGCAATCTACTTCCGTAGTGATATCACCTCTGAAACCCAAGGAGGGGTCACTATGAGTTGGGTCTGACTTGACAGCATATAACAACAACAACAACATCATGGATAGGACTTTTAGGGAAAAAGACTGCAAATGCTATTACTAACCAAAACCAAACCAACAGCTGTCAACTAAAGCAGGAGAAAAATATGCAAGCACAATAAAATAATGCCTGGTGAAAAACCTTTAGCATCATACAGTTCTTCGAAGATCCAGGGTCAAAGTGGATAAAATGTGAACCATGATTCAGTTGTTGTTAACAGACATATACAATGTCAGAAGGCATAATTATAAAATGATCCAGAGAAACAAGTAGTTAATTTCTGCATTAAGCTCAGTACTTCAGGTGAAACTTTCAGATTTTTAGTGTCAAGAGGAGGCTAGAAAAGATTAATCGCCTAGAATTAGAAAGGATTTTCAATTCCAGGGCATCTAATACTTATGACCATGAAAATGAACCTATATTGATGATGAAGTTTCATTTGTGTCATTAAATACAAGTGATTTTGAAATGTACCTTTTGAACATTTTCTTCCCTTCTGAGTTGAAGTACCTTCTTCTATTTTCTTTTTCAGACTTCAAGCCATGGCAACTGGGGGTCCTGGGGGTCCTGGGGCCAATGTTCTCGTTCTTGTGGAGGAGGAGTTCAATTTGCCTATCGTCACTGCAATAACCCTGCACCCAGAAACAGTGGCCGTTACTGCACAGGGAAGAGGGCTATTTACCGCTCCTGTAGTGTCGTACCTTGCCCACCCAATGGTATGCTGCTCCCAAGTGTCAGCATTTACCATCTGCTAAGGGTAGTTTATATTCTAGCACTAATAAATAGGAGAGGCTGAACAAATGAAATATTCATATTTAACTGATGATTCCACCAATATACAAATTAATTTTAAAAAATACATGAGTGTTTTAAAAATATTATTATGAACAATAGTTCCAGAATTAGAGATTTGGAAGAAAATAACTACTGTTTTTAACTGTATATAGCTAGATGAAATTCTTAAACAGTTGTATATAAAGAAGCTGTGCAAAAAAAAAAATAGTTAACATTTTCTTCTTAAAATAAATTATTTAAATGTAGGAAATATATGTAAGTTTATAAAACAGTAATGGTAACATGTTTGTTTTCTAGCTAAATCTTTTCGTCATGAGCAATGTGAGGCCAAAAATGGGTATCAGTCTGATGCAAAAGGAGTCAAAGTATTTGTGGAATGGGTTCCTAAATATGCAGGTGTCCTGCCAGGGGATGTATGCAAACTGACCTGCAGAGCTAAGGGCACCGGCTACTATGTGGTATTTTCTCCAAAGGTAACTATTGACCAATTGTCTGGAAACACTAGGCATTCTGAAGGAAATTATTTGATAGCATAAAGCTTACAGATAATAAATTAATATTATTTTCTTGGTGATTAGATTAGGGAGGATTTTTGTTTTCACCTCTATACTTCCCGTATTTTCAAACTTTATGCAATGGGTAAAATTATTTTATAAACAGAACAAGTAAATGTTTAAAGGTTTTTTTTTTTTTAAATGTAACTGTCAAAGATGGTGACATATGATATTGAAAATAACCATGAAAATAGCTATATTTTTCATTTGCAAAACAAAATGAAACAATTAGGCATATTTATAAATTTATTTCAAAAAGCAAGAAATCTTTCTTATTTTGTCTGTTATTCACTTTAGAATTTTTTTGTTGTTGTTATTATTATTCATGAGAATAGTTTCAAGATCATCCCTGGCCCAGGCTTCTAAGTAAGTCTTGCATCCTTAACATGAATCAATATCCCTTGATATTATGTGTATGAGTCTAATTATCCATTATTTTTCTCAGCAGATCATTTTCAAATTATAAAGCAAGCCAGTGTTACACAGCAATTTAAAAATAATATTTATCTGATTTGCAAAAAGGTGCTACATTTAAAACAGCTTCCGGAATTGGCCTTTTGGTATTTATGACATGCAATTGACAAATAAACTAATGCCCAACTTACATAATTTTAAAAAATATCTTTTTACTATAAAAGTAACACACCTTTCATTTTTAAAATATTATGGAGAAATAAGAACAAAAACATAACTGGGTGTTTTTCTACTATCTGAAGATAAGTGCTATTAATTTGTTAAAGTATATTTTGTTTGGTTCCCACACACACACATACATGTACACACAGACTCATTTACACATTGACATGTAAAAAGAGAAAGTTATGTGTATACATAAACACAAAGCATCTATGCTTATTTATATACTTGTGTTCTAAAACCATACTGCAGTCTATATAACACTATTTTATAACTAGTTGTATATTTACTTAATATAGATTAATTTCTTTATTCAAAATATATTCTTTCTGTTCAGGGCAGTAACTTTATCTGGCTTCCCTAGACTCCTTTTTCTACACTAATCTTTTGGTCTTTAGTTTGGTGTTTCACAGTTCCTCACACAATAGGTAATGCCTTCCATCCATGACATGGTTTTAAATATCAGATTTAGATTTTCAAATTTATTACTGTAACAACAAGTATGCAACAAAACAAGGGCTCTCAATTCTCAAGCTTACTCATATTCAGCTCTCTGTACTGGAGATAGTCCTAAGCTCTATGAAAAAAAAAAAAAAAATTCTCTCAAAGTAAAAGCAAAGGTTATACAGTGGGAACAAAGCATGCATGCAAAAATAGAAATGAGTACCTTGAATCTCCTAATACATTTGGAATTAAGTTTCAATGGAAAACAGATAGACAATGCACACTTAGATTTATCCTAAATCTCCTGCCAAGACACCAAGGATTTTTCAGTTAATACTTCTGGAAACTATGGGTTTATGGGGGGTGGGTTGATTACCTTTTTTTTCTTTTTGTAAGCCATTTTATTTTTTGATTTAATTTCTAACATTAATTCTGCTTTTCATGTTTTTCATTATACATTTCCAAATTTTTCCATTATCCTTAACAGGAGTTCCCAAACCCATTCTCATGCAGTTAATTCTGACTCACAGCAACTCTATAGCATAGAGTAGACCTACCTTACTGGGTTTCCAAGGCTGTCATATTTAAAGAAGCAGACTGCCACATCTTTCTCCTGTAGAGCAGTAGATGGGTTTGAACTGCCAACTTTTCAGTTTGCAGCCAAGTACTTAACTACTTAGTCCTCCACACTCTTAACACATTCAGTGTCCCTTAAACATTGAGTCCTCCTTTCTCTCTCTTTCCCACTCACCCTTAGTAACCACTAATAAACATTGATTTCTATACACTTGCCTATTTTAGATATTTCGTGTAAGAGGGATTTCACAATATGTATGTTTTTGTGACTGATTTACTTTACTCAGCATAATGTTTTTAAGGCTCATCAATGTTGTAGCATATATCAGGACTTAATTTCTCCTTATGGCTGAGTAATATTCCATTGCATGTATTTTATGTATGTATGTATTTTTCATCTGTTCATGAACAGTAGGCTATTTCAATTTTGGGGGTATTGTGAACATTTCTGCAATGAACCTCTTGGCAAAGATCAAGTGTAGTTTCTTTTCTTACAATGTTGTTTAATTTTAGTTGTGCCATCTAGTCTAATAAAACTCAAACCTTACAAATAAGAACTTCTTTTTTTTATTAAAGGGTCCCTGGTTGGCACAAACTGTGCTTGACTACTAACCTAAAAATCAGCAGTCCAAAACTCACTCATCAGTGCCACAGAAGACAAGCCTGGCAATCTATTTCCATAAAGATTGCTGCTGTTGTTGTTGTTAGGTGCTCCTGAGTCCATTCCAATTCATAGTGACCTCTTGTGACAGAGTGAAACTATCCTATGGGATTTTCCAGGCTATAATCTTTACTGGAACAGATTGCCAAATCTTTCTCCACAGAACTATTGGGTGCATTTAAACAACCAGCCCTTTGGTTAGCAGCCAGACATTAACCAGTGTGCTTCCAGGACCCCTTCCATAAAGATTAAAGCCAAGAAAACTCCACAGAGGAATTCTCCTCTGTAACACATGGGGTCACAATGAGTTGGAATCAACTCAACAGCAACAAGTTTAGTTTGATATTTGTTTATCAAAAGATCCAAGTACCTATGCACAATGTTTCACTCTGATGATGTTTCTCATTTTCCAGGTGACCGATGGAACTGAATGTCGGCCATACAGTAATTCTGTCTGTGTTCGAGGGAAGTGTGTGCGAACTGGCTGTGATGGCATCATTGGTTCCAAACTTCAATATGACAAGTGCGGGGTCTGTGGAGGAGACAACTCTAGTTGTACAAAGGTTATTGGAACCTTCAATAAAAAAAGGTAATAAGGTAATATAATACAACAAGTGCTTTTATATTAATTGATCACAGGTTTTGACTCTTGAAAAACGGATAAAGAGGGAACTCATATTACATCATAAGCTTTCAGAGGGAGGAGGTCTAGCATGGCTCTGGTAGCATATTACGAGAAGGAAGGAGAGATAACTAAAACTCAACTGAGTGGAAACTCATGACACTACTAAAAGCAGATAAACTGCAATGGCCATGGAGGTCATGTTCTTGCATGGTGTCAATACTGAGACTAAGAAGTGGGGGAAATTTCTCTTTAGTAATATTTCCCAGATCTATTATTCCTAAAACATAATTTAGGAAAGGAAGGCTGTTTTTTGTTGTAACAATTTTCTTTACAAATAAATTCTAATTCACTTGTATTTTTCTTAAAAAAAAAATATTCTTATTGCAAAATGTAAGTTAATTGCATGGTGTGGGCAAAAATCCCATTTCACAGCATATTATCCTGGTATATATCTACTCTATAAAGAAATGCACCCACTCTTCCCTTATTGACATAGTTAGGTTCCAAACATCAAGTCATTTTGTTCTGGTTACCTAGTGCCACCCTGACAAGAATGTACCACAAATGGGATGGCCTTAACAAACAGGAATTTATTCTTACAGTTTGGAGGCTTTAAGTCCAAGTTCAAAGTGCCAGGTTCTAGGGGCTGGGTGAAAGCCCCTCAACCTTGGGGTCCAGCTCTGCCTCCTGCTCCCGGCCCACTGGAGCTAGAGACATTTCTTCACTCAGACAGCTGCTGGCTGCTGAGGCTGAGAAGCCCCAAGGTTGACAAATAAAAAGACACAGTCCCGATGTTACCAAACAATATGGCAGGCCATTAACTTAAGTCCACTGTAAGTCCCAAGGTCAGCAGAGCATAGCAGGCTGCTGAGCAGGGACACGGCTACATGCAGGGTCCAAGTGTGCCATAGGCTAGAGACCATTCCCAAAGCTTCTCCTTATATATAGGAAGCAGACCACATACCCAAATGCAGCTATTTAGCTGCTCACAGTAAATTCCACCATGGAGTTGATTACCAGTCTTGTCATGGGGAATACTATGTCCAGCTGCCCAGCCATTCAACCAGGCCTAGCCAAGTTAACACAAAAACATAACCAACACACATTTGGTGAAATATGTGTTATGTGAAAGTCGGGGCCTGTGCCCAATATTTGGCACCAGTGCCCCTCCACCTGGTCACTCACCACTTGTCAGTTGCATCTGGTGCATCTTGGGATGCTCGTGGCTTGGCAAGCCTCCTTCCCCACCATGAAGCCCACTGGAATTGGGGTGGTAGTGATGTTCAAATTTTGCCCACCATCTGTCCTGGGCAGGAATTCTATTCATCCTCTGTCTGCCCTGGCCCTGCAGCCCCACTCAGCCACCTTCTCTCTGCCCTTCTTCCCACTTCACTCCATTAACCTCCCTAGTACTTTCAGGCCCTTACTCAGCCTCCGCCTGCCCCTTTAGACCTCATGTCATCCTGCCATAACCCCATGCTCTCCATGGCTAGCTGAATATGTCCTGGGTGAACATGAGAAGGCATCCTATGGCTAGCTAGTTTGCCACTGTCCCGTGCATGGCTCATTTGTCACTGAATGCATCCAGGGGCCAGATGAAGCCTTGCATGGAGCCTGGATCATTGGAGGTGTCACCTGAGAATTTTTTCAAGTTGTCATAAATACAAAGTATCAGATAATGAGAAAATCAATAATTGAGGAGTAGTACATATACAGTAATGTCTACTTTTGCCTCCCCTCATGTCCTAGATTATACTTTTGCTTTAAATATGTAAGCTTATAAGGCACTGATATCCAGCATAAAAAAAAAAATAGATAAATGCACACACACACACACACACACAGGTATCCATGATACCTTCTGTGAAATAGAGCATTATGTAATTTGGACATTGTGCAGACACTATATTAAAACTTTATGGGTACTCACTTCCAGTTGTTCTTGTAGCCGCTGTTGTCACTGATGCAGCTGCTGGGAGAGGCTGGAGGAATGAGTGGTGCCAGTGGCAAGAGCTGAGAGACAGTGGTGGGAGCTGAGCTAGAGGAAGCATGTAAGGAGGAAGCAGAGCACACCCAGCCCCACTCACTGTTCTCTCCAGCTGAGCAGCAGCTGTAGCCAAGACCCCAGAGTCCCCACTGCTCCTGCCTGCCTTTCTGCCAAGAAAGCCCGAGAGCCCACATACAGCCATGTTCTCTGCCTCACTTAGCTGTATCCCACTGCATCCACTGCTACAAGAGTCTGAGTTTGGGATTTTTAGAACCATTAGACCAAAAACACCAAACCCTTTGCTGTCAAGTTGATTCTGACTCATAGCAACGCTATCAGACAAAGTAGAACTGCCCTATAGAGTTTTCAAGGCTGTAATTTTTTAGAAGCAGACTGCCAAATCTTTCTCCCATTGACCTTTTGGTTAGCAGCCAACTGTTTAATGATTGTGCCACCAGGGCTTCTTTTAAAACCATTGGAGGAAAATAAAAAACTAAATGAGAGCTCCTTTCCCTTAAGAAAAAAAAAAAAAACTTATGGGACCATTGAAGTATGTGGTCAGATGAATGCTGCCCAAATGGATGTTAAGTGACACATAACTGTGTTATGCTGTAAGATTGGATGGGTGAGTCAGCTAAGTGTCTGCTAGAATACAAGACTATTTTTCTTCTTTCCCAACCCACTCTGATTGTAATATGTGGTTAAGTTTGTATGTGTTCTTAATGTATGTGCTGTTACCTTTACCTTGAGAGTAATAAGCAGACCAAATTTATTAAACCAATTAATCACCAAGTTAATGTAAAAAACTGAAAATTATCTTTGATATGATCAAACATTGCATGGCTGAAGAATTTATTATGAATTAAAATATTCATTATGCATTACTAACTGTATTTGCTAATGAAACAGTATTCACCTTTGTTAGACATATCTATGTCAAAAAACTGCACATCATAAAATGTCCTGCATTTTCCAACATTTCAAGGATGAGGATCCCCTCATGTCCTGGATTATACCTTTGCTTTAAATATATAAGTTTATAAGGACTGATATCCAGCATAAAAAAGGTAAATAGATAAATGTACACACACACACACACAGAGATATCCATGATACCTTCTGTGAAATAGAGCATTAGTGATTTGGTCACCTTAAATATAATCAGGGTCAATAATTTGTTTTACAAAGGAAGAAAGGAAGAAACTATAACTCTCAAAGTTTAGCACTTACCCAATTTTACATAGCTGGTGAAAGCAAGAGCTAGGGAGATGATTGATAGATAGATAGATGATAGATAGATAGATAGATAGATAAATTACAGACAGATTGTTGTTAGGTGCCATCAAGTTGGCTCTGACTCATAGTGACCCTGTATACAACAGAACGAAACACTGCCTGGTCCTATGCCAGCCTCACAATCCTTGCTATACCTGAGCCCATTGTTGCAGCCACTGTGTCAGTGCACCTCATTGAGGGCCTTCCCCTTTATCATTGACTCTCCACTATACCAAGCATAATATCCTTCTTCAGAGAATGGTCCTTTCTGACAACATGACCAAAATAGGTGAGACAAAGACAGGCCATCCTTGCTTCCAAAGAGCATTCTGCCTGTACTTCTTCCAGGACAAATATGTTTGTTCTTCTGAAAGTCCATGGTACTTTCAGTATTCATCGCCAACACCACAACTCAAAAGCATCAACTCTTCTTCAGTCTTCCTTATTCATTGTCTGACTCTCACATGCATATGAGGTGACTGAAAATACCAAGGCTTGGGTTAGGCATACTTTAGTCTTCAAAGAGACATCTTTGCTCTTCAGCACTTTAAAGAAGTCTTTCACAGTAGATTTGTCTAGTGGAATACATCATCTGATTTCTTAACTGCTATTTCCATTGGTGTTGATTGTGGAGCCAAGTAATATGAAATCTTTGACAACATCAATCTTTTCTCCATTTATCATGATGCTGTTTATTGGTACAGTTCTGAAGATTTTCACTTTATTTATGTTGAGATGTTATCCATACTGTAGACTGTAGTCTTTAATCTTTTATCAGTAAGTGCTTCAAGTCATCTTCACTTCCAGCAAGGAAAGTTATATCGTCTGCATATCACAGGTTGTTCGTGAGTCTTCCTCCAATCCTGATGCCATGTTCTTCTTCATATAGTCTACCTTCTTGAATTATTTTCTTAGCATACAGATTGAATAAGTATGGTGAGAGGATACAACTCTGACACATATCCCTTCCTGATTTTAAACCATGCAGTATCCCCTTGTTCTGTTTGAACATTAGCCTTCTGGTCTACCTACAGGTTTCTCATGAGCACAATTAAGTGTTCTGGAATTCTCATTCTTCTCAATGTTATCCATAATTTGTTGTGATCCACAGAATGGAATGCTTTTGCATACTCAATAAAACACAAGTAAACATCTTTCTGGTATTCTTTGCTTTGAGTCAAGATTGTCTGACATCAGCAATGGATATCCCTTATTCCTCTTCTGAATCCAGATTGTATTTCTGGAAGTTCTCTGTGAATATATTGCTGCAACTGTTTTTGACTTGTCTTCAGCAAAATTTTACTTGTGTGTGATATTAATGATATTATTCGATAATTTCCACATTCTGTGGGATCACCTTTCTTTGTAATGTGTACAAATGTGGATCTCCTCCAGTCAGTTGGCCAGGTCTTCCAAATTTCTTGGCATAGATGAACGAGTGCCTCCAGCACAGCATCCATTTGTTGAAACATCTCGATGGGTATTCCATCAATTCCTGAAGCCTTGTTTTTCTCCCATTCCTTCAGTGCAGTTTTGACTTCTTCCTTCAATACCATTGGTTCTTGATCATATGCCACCTTCTAAAATGGATGAATATCAACCAATTATTTTTGGCCTAGTGACTCTGTGTATTCCTTCCATCTTCATTTGATGTTTCCTGCACTATTTAATATTTTCCCTATAGAGTCTTTCAGTATTGCAA